TGTGAGAGACCTAGGGGTACTTGTAAGCCCGGACCTACGGCCTAGAAAACAGTGCGCTAATGTTCGAAATAAGGCAAACAGAGTATTGGGTTTTATATCTAAAAGTGTAAGTAACAAGAGTGCAGAGGTCTCATTGCAACTATATCTTGCGCTAGTCAGGCCGCACCTCGATTATGCGGTTCAGTTCTGGTGCCCTTATTATAGAATGGATATCAATTCACTAGAGTTCGGTGCAGCGAAGAATGACAAAAATGATTCCGGGACTTAGAAACCTTCCAAATCAGGATAGGTTAAAGAAACTTAACTTGCATTCCCTAGATAGACGAAGAGTGTGGGGAGATATGATAGAAGTATTTAAGTGGGTGAAAGGACTCAATAAAGGGGATATAGATAAAGTTCTTATAATATCCGAGAAGGATAGGACTCGGAGCAACGGATTTAAGTTGGATAAGTTTAGGTTTAGGAGGGAGATAGGAAGAAACTGGTTCACAAATAGGGTGGTGGACGAGTGGAACACGCTTAGCAACTTTGTAGTAGTGCTGGAACTCCGGAAAGTTTCAAAAGGAGGCTAGATAGATTCATGGATGATAGAGAGTGGTAGTAACTCTCGACAGGAGCTGCCATACACAGGCCAACCGGCCTATTGCAGACTCCTTATTTTCTTATGTTCTTAACCATCCGAGGAAACACTACCGTACACTGTCACGATCACAATGCGAAATGGCCCGTTATAACACCCGCTTCCTTTAAAGCATCTCTTAAAAACATCAACTGTCTATATATTAAAATGTTTGTAACACCCCCTAATTGGTATTACAGTAAGCATATTTTTACTATGTCATAACAACCATAACGACTTTATCTTGAATAAAATTGGCTTCTTTAACTTTGACGTAACTCAAGTTGTAGCTATTGCTTTCACTCATACTTCTCGTCTAGCTAAATAAATTATATTAATTTCAATTTCAACGCGCGCACTCAGACAGGAAACACATTAACTGCTAAAACGTATACATTACACAATAACGGAAGTATACACTATGTACTTAGACGCGTTCGCGCACATACACACACGCAAAGTGTGAAGGACACACAATTTTATCTCTCTTTTTATTGCCTAGTACAGTATATCTTAGCCTGAAATTCTACAAATAATTCTTTGCAGAGAGCGTGTGTGGATGTGTGTGTTTGGTACAGTGAACATCAAACATGACAATAATAATCAAACAGCAGCGGACGCAAGATAAAGTCTTGTGGATCCTGGCATAATCCCAGACCCGAGCACTATGCGTCTCGCCAAGGTCAGCGGCACCAGGCAACGCCATAAAGAGAACACTTGTCCCTCCCTCTCCACCACGGGGGTGTAGCTCAGTGGTAGAGCATTCGACTGCAGATCGAGAGGTCCCTGGTTCAAACCCGGGCGCCCCCTGATGAGGGTTTCATCCTTTTTTTTTTGGTGAAATTCGTTGGCACAGTTATACGTAAAGGCAGATTATAGCGATGTAAAATATGAATCTGAAAAGAAAACTACCACTTGTGGAACCTCTGTTACCTGTCGTGGAGTGTTAACCACCTCCTAAGTTAGCTACATGTAACTTATAAAATATTTCTAATAAGCAGCAGTTGATTATTACAATAATAGAAGACGAGACCATTAATGGGACAGTGTTAGTGACTCGGCCAAGATGGCATCACTGGCCTCCTCCCTCACCCCGCTTTAGTCCACACACAAAGTCCTCACAAAAATAAGTGTTAACAAAGGAATGTAAAGACGTATATAATAAAAGAAAAAAAAAACGTGAAAAATATTCCATGAGATTTGTTTGGGTGACAGGATTTCTCTCTTCCTATCTTTGTTGTTACACCGGATTGTGATGATCACCCAGCAATGACAAGATGACGGTAATGTTTCAATCAGGAGCGTTGAACATAATCTGCGTCATGCGTATAATTATGCATAGGTATTTCAGGACTCTTGCGTAGGCCAAGGAGTAACCCGCTAACTGCTGAATACAAAGAGTCAAGGGATCACCACCTGTCTGGCCACTTATATCCCAACAGTTAAGGCTTGATTGGTTGAAAACGTAATGATGTAAATAATAATTCAGTAATTTAATATACTGCTTTGACCAGGAAATGGTTCCGGTGTCGTAAGAGAAAACCTGTGATGTGTCATAATAATAATAATAATAATAATAATAATACCATCTTCCATATCGCAAAGTAGTTGGCCCTTGAGCTGAATAACCCAGAAATTATAAGACTATATTCTTATTTCTCTTCCCTAATTTTTTATTATTATTATTTTTTTTTTGGGGGGGGGGGATAACCCAGCAAAGAATATAGTAATAAATTTAATGATACAATAAAAAGGTATATAACACCCATTAATAACAGTTCTAAGTTGGCGAAGAACTGTGTCAAGTTAATTAAGAGACGGACATAGCGCTGAGTTAGCGGAGTATAGACTAGTGGGTACACACACATTCTCTTATAGCTTCTAGAACGAACCAAGTCATTCCTCCTACAGTTTTTCCACAGGGAGAACAAGATGTACCTCAGCCCCTAGTCTGTATCCGTCTAATGAGTCGCCCGCCACTAAACGATCGTCAAGAGTACCTGAATGGTGATTGGACATCGCCTTAACTGCTGATAGCCAATCAAGGGTGTCTCATTAAAGCACTTTAATGACCCGATTAACGTTATTTATACGAGAGAGAGAGAGAGAGAGAGAGTGTGTCAACCTAAACAAATGCTAATATTCCTGTTTTTATAACGAATCTATTATAATAAAAGTTTAATATATTGTTAAAAACCAGAATGATAATATAAATCACTAACCATATAAACAAAAACAAAATACTTGCGTAGACGGATTTTAGTGTGGTCGTACAGTAAGCTTCGCACACTCCCTGCAGTGCACATCAAGACGCTTTTCATATGTAATATATTTCGCACTGACGGCATACGCAGGTAGATAGTTCCAAATGTGAACAACAACGATTAACAATATTATCAATAATATCGCCCGAGTTCAACGGTAACAAGTAATTTCGTAACGATGACAATTATGGCAAACCAACTCAAAATACGTCCCATTTACCTTGACGACAGCATCCCACACTCACCCTCGGCCGAACACCATTGAGCAGAGAAACATAAAATTTACCTCCACTTCTGCAAATTTTCCTGTTTCCTCAGTGTTGAAGGCCATAACGGTGCATATTGTCAGTTGAGGCTAAACAAGGTCCCTGTGTTAATGTGTTATATCTGTTCCTTCCTTGAATGAGACAAACTTATTAAATGTAAAACAAAGCAAAAAAATTTTAACGGAAGATTTTTTGGCCTATAAATATTCAATAACCTGACGTCACTCACACTTTCACAAGGCTATCTACTTATAATTTTCCTTTAGATTTCTACACTCGTCCTGTTCCACTACCCACCCTTCCAGCTATCTCATTCTGTTCCATTTTACACAAATCTTGGAGGAGTAATTAAGTTAAACTGAAATTTATGCTGATAAAGTTAACTGCATCAAGGTGGGCAAATGAATGCCTTCGGATCTGAATTTGGTTCCTAATAAACTATCACTAAAGCGTCATTTTAATCAACTACCACTCTAATAGGCACCTTTCTCCCCTACAAATATTTTGGTTACACAACATTTAATGTGGTTGGTTATTGGCCAAGAAAGTTTCATTCCTTCCAAATTTGAGCTCAACCATACTGCCTAGCACGGCCTAACTCCCGCAACCCACGAAAAATAAAAAATCCCAATCAGGTGTAACTAGACTCCTCACTCATTACACAAATTCACGCTCCTTACATTTACGGACAGACAAAAGAGCAAAGGATGAATCATACACGGGAAACTGAACATGGTCACCTCTAGTGGATGGTCTGCACACTTTGACTCACTTCCAGCGTGGCGGCGGGACAGTCGGCATCTACGCGCTGCTCGTGATAACAAATTACTAATCCTAACCTACCTATCCGTAACTAATTTAATTATAACTTAAGATAATACAGTTAGGAGTGGCTGGATCGTTTTGCTTACTTAAGGAGACAAATTTCACGATTTTCCTTAAACAAAAATGGATGCCCATGTAGCTTCACTGACGAAGAGGATAAAGTTTGTATTTACTTGACCTTATTTAAGCAGTGGCCACTAAAATTAGAGAAACCACGCCAAGGGAAGGAGGCCAGTGTAGGATCGTTCCATTGTTCCTTATAATGTCTCGAAAAGTGACATTTTTGAAGTCCATCTTAAGGCAAACTTCCATGGCTTTCCCGCCCTCTTAACTTTAGAATGGTCACCCGCGATACTTACCGGGTATCTCATCTCCACAATTCCTCTTACTGTTTACGATACATAACAACAGTAACGTGATATTTTAACACCGAGGGCGTCACAAGTAGACAATACTCAATGGCTACTGTATAAACAACCACACATGATCTTTCTTACCTGTGCCTCCTCCTGGGTAGTTACTCTTGTTAACCTGCTCAGCTGCTCTCCTCAAGGTTATTGGTTCCTACTGGTACCTGTTGAACACTTCCAGACGAATAATAATGTAATAAAAACGCCAATAAACATAATCTTGCTTAACTTTCTCACACACACAACTTCGAAAACTTCGCTCACGCCATAATAGTTTAGTGGAACTGGTTGGATGGTTCTTTTCTCACAAGTAAAACAAAAAGTATTTAAACAAATATCAGTTTGAATAAATTTAAGACATACAGATTATAAAAAGTAAATAATAAATATAAATTATAATAAAAGTGTTAATATTCTACAATAAACATATATACAGTATATTAAAAATTGTTAAGAAACAAAGAAAGTGACGAGATGTTCGATCATAGAAAACGGATACATTAAATATTAAAGGGGTAACTATATCAATGTTACGTATACCCTTTACTTTTGTATAATTGTTACTTTACAATTGCCAGCGTGTGTACATAGCAAAGAGGATAAAGTAAAGTATTCATAATACTGTATACATATAATATTGTTAACAGGGAGCATTTAAAAATACATGTAGTCTAATAGTGTCAGCATTATGTGAATATAGTCTAAACCAAACTGCACTGTTAATTTGTTTCGTACCTAAAATACCATGAAATGATACATATTGGTCACATGATCATTCACAGGGCACAAACCTCAACCCCTCAGAGCAGCAGGTGAGTTGTATACAGTATTCACCAGTTCATTATAGGATCAAAGACACACACTCAGACACAGTAAAGTTTATAGTATTAAGACTGGAGTTTTGTACATCTCAGAAAATGGTATTAGATAATTTTCTTAACTAGTGAATTAAATCACTAATTCCATGATGATCGTTATGCAACCTCTTGACATAATGAAGCTGTAAAGATAAACTATATCGAGACTTCTCAAATGGCTTCACAAAATGTATTGTGGCCGAAATATGAATGTGATGTGAGTGAGCGAGCCAGCTAGAAGACACAGTGGTACCTGGGCTGCCTGTTCTCACTGTGGGCGTCCTACCTGTACCTGTCATGACCAGGATATATATTTGTCTGCAGTGGGACAACTTTAATATATACAAAAGTAAGAACAAGAAGACTTTGGCTCCATTCCCTTCAAACTCAAAAACCTCCTGCATGGTGACGTCTCCAGTGTGTTAGGTTTATTTAATGGTATGTGTACATCAATACTGTATATTCAAGTGTATGTGTAAATGAATACTGGTATGTTGTATAAGTGTATGGCCTTCTAGGCTTGCTGTATGTATGTGTGTGTACATACATGCACAAACAAAGATGTATGCACACACGTTTAGCTTTCTGAACAGTCACACTTGGAATAAACTACAGTACCTACAAATTTAAAATGAAGGAAATGGTACCACTGTGTCATTTGAGTATATATTTGGCCCTTTATTTAAACTAAGCAACACTTAAGAGACATTTTATACAAATGGGAAGCAATAGGGCATTGTAGCTGGCGAGATCATAATACTTCTGTTCCTTACTCTGTTCAGTGCTGGCTGAGGTAAGCTCACTGTAACCGTCGTACAACACACTATAATTATGGGTGACACGACTTACACATGTAACTTTGTTCATTAATATTCTGAAAAAAATAAAAGGAGAAGATTTCTAGTAGGAACTTTTAAGTAAAGCTTACCTCACTTTATGACCCAGCTTGACCTTAGCTGCCCCACACAGGATATGGCACAAAGGTTGCTCAAGCAATTGTATCTATCCTACCAAAGGTTGAGGAGACTTACTGTAGTTTATATCTATTTCTCTAAAAATGATTTAAATTATTAGTAATTTATCTCTCCATTATGAAAACTGTCTAATTGTCAGTCCACAGGTTTATGTTAATAAGTTTTAAACAAAAGTAGTACAGTATTATAGAATGTGAAATACAGATATAGTGTTAAAATATGTTAATTTACATAAATTTTGAAGTATTACATATTTTATCATAAAAAATGTCTCAATTGCCATAAGAAGAATGTCCTCATACAGCATCTAATGATTTATGGAATTCTGTGGGATTAATATAGGGTGTATCTCCTGCTGGTCTTCCTGGTTAGATAGTCACTTTACTAGCCTACATATGGGAACGCTCTGAGCTACGTCAGCACTATATGTTACGTCATATCTTCTGTACAAAATATAAATGATTATAGGTATATAATGGGTTAGAAAAATTCGTCTTGAGATTCCTATGAAATATGAGATAGTTTGTATGAAATAATTTAATAGCACACAGAAACTAGAGAGGGACTTTGACGTGATGATTTACATGCAACAGAAGTGCAGTCATACTTTACAATAAAGCCTTTCATAAAATTATCATACAGTTCATAAAATTATTCATCTGAACTAAACTAAAATTTATCACTATGTACATCCTGAAACTTATTAATAATGGTTTATGAATATGTTTCAACACTAAGAGTTTAATTTCAAGAAGTTTCAAATGAAATTACAAGTTGATTCCATATGACTTACATTAGCTATGTAAACATTACACATATTTTGATATATGACACACATTGCATGCTGCAACGGATATTAAACACAACGGCTCATGAGGTAAGTAGTCGGGGCGATGGGTGTATATCTACTATGCTGATCTCAAGACTGTAGATAGCTACACATGCATTACGCCACTGAATCCATCTCCTAATGCAGACACTCAAATGCCAAGAATCTGTCAGATGAACACTCAGCTGAATGTCAATGCAGACTGTTAAGGCAACTACAGGAAAGCTCTGTTCCAGCACTGCATAACAGTTGCTTGACCATATCTACATTAGATTTTCAACATTCCAAACTTACTTTTAAAATGCAATTACATACTGATCCAGACTATCATGATACCACTGGTTCTAACTGTATATGCCATGTTACACATCTGTGATCCACAATGTTTACTACACAAGGACTGGGTCTCCACCGTCTTTACAACAGCACTTACACAAGTTTCTTTATTGAAGTCATTTTCCTTGTAGATAACACTATCTGAATCAGCTTGTTTCTATGTTACATATCAAACATTGAGATAATATAAATGTAAATTCACTGGTTTGGCTCATGGACATGGGGTACATAGGAGGTTAATTAATGAGTCTCTACATTTATCATATTCTTACAAAGCTTCTTTTTCAGTGCCTGGTTTCTAAACTTATATTCTAAAGTTATATTTCCCTGTTAACTCTTTCTTTCCTCCTGATGTATGTTGCCATTCTACTGTATTGATTATACTGTCCATCACTTTATCATTACTTTCTCACCACTGAAGTTGTAACTAATACAGTAATGTAATATTCTCTCTCTACTTATACAGTATTAAGCAGGAATTTTTCTCTACTGACAATTATTTCTCATCAGTATTCAAGCATCCTATCAATCTTTAATTGACTTCATCAGCTTTTCCTTCAGTAACATCGTCTACGACAGCGACATTTCCTGATGATTTCAATCTCTTTTTTGTAGGAAGTCCCATCATTACAAATAAGTCGAACTTGGCGCTGTTTTGTCCTGCGTGGCTTACAGCAGTGAGTGCCGCAAGTACCACTGCAAATGGCATTCTTGATGGGTCTCCTTGAACGACATCCATTCTCCACATAATACTCGGTAAATTGTTCTTTGCGGCAAGTTGGAGCTGAAAAGTACAAGTAAGAGAGAATTAGTAACGATTTAAAGTTACTTTTAAAATAAGAATTGGCACAAATATGTATTCAGTGCACTACTAATGAGTCAACTGATGAAGGGACCATTAGTATTGTTGTGATCAACACAGGCAGTCACCCAGGCATAACACATCTACTGTATTCTCATCCAGGTATAAATAATCAATGGCATCTCTCTCCCTCTCACTATCCTAATCTCAATTCCTGAGTTGTTGTTAAAATGGTTTTAGCTTATGGCTGTGTTTATATCTTTTTTTACCGACACATACTCTATCACCAGTCACAGGGATCCTCTGTCAAGTGAGCTATACCATAGGGGCTGTGGCTTCAATCAGGGCATACCTCTTTGTTCTATAAGAAGGGATAACATGTGATAATACCTCCTGTCATGAGCCTCAGCTTGTTCATGACTGTTTAGTGATAAGTGTTGGTCTTGTGTTAATGTTTTCCATCAACTTATATTACAAGGTACTGTATCTTATTAATACTGTTCTTCAAAATGTTCCTAAAGTATCATATGTACTGATAACCATTGGTGAGGACGGACTGTGCGCCATTTCTTCCAAAAAGATATACAGTATGTGAGTAAAAATTTAAGTTCATGGCAGTCAACCGGATCCTAACCCCACAAATGTATAGGTTATTTCAGCATTGTCTCAAAGCCATCAAAAGAATAACTTACCCTGATCACAGAACCTGCCAGACCATCCGGTTCGACAGCGACACTTGTAGTCCAGTCCATCATTCTTGCGCTTTGGCTTGCACCGTCCACGTCGACATTTATGATTTTCGCAGGGATCAATTCTTGCCATCTCCTCTTCTTCCTTGTGCTCCTCCTCCAGTACTGGTGGGTGTATCTGTAACACACATTCAATGTTGCCACTACAGAAAAAACTCTTTTATCTTGGCACACACACACACACACACACACACCCATAAAAAACAAGAACAAAAACAAAATACAGTATTAATATGTCCCTAACCTATACTGTCTTCCCCCTGTCAATATTTGCAAACTAGACACTGTACAGTATAGTCTGAATTTACGCGGTTTTTGTTTACGCATTTGGTCATTTACGCGGTTCCTTGCCGGAATGAAATGTTTTAATTACGCGGTAAATTTGGTCATTTACGCGGCGAGGTCCAGACAGCCGCGCCATTTTTAACTGACGCGGTCCATTCTTGACCATACGCGGGAAGTGGCGCGGTGAGTGGTGCGCATTAGGCCGCTCTTACGTTATCGCTGATGTCATTTGATGTATCGGACTGTGATTGGGCCACGCATCCTTACCACCCACGCATTCCCTCCACCGCTAGCTGTGATTGGTCTAATGTAACATGACGTGCCCTGCCACCAGAGGGTAGAAGTCGCTGACCTAGCCGGGCCAGTCTCAATGTTCTCAGTCCGCATATACAGTTCTCTCTTGTGCCCGCTATTCCCCTCACAATGGCTTCCGCTGGACCCCCACCACCTGAGAAAAACCTTGAATTACCTGGACCAAGCCATGATAATGTGAAGGAAATCATCGAGTTGGGGGAGAAAATTAAGCTCATCCTTGACAACGACCCAGACAAGCATCGGTATGAAGCATCTAATAACCATCTGACGAAAGTTATGGAGCCGTATAACCAGATCTATCTTGACAACATCAATGCTAGTCGTCAACGTAGTATTGAGGACTTCCTCACCCGCAACCCACCACAACCACAGCCAACCCAAGTCAGTGATAGTGATAGTGACAGTGAGGATATCGACTTTGAGAGGCCCTGTAAACCTCTGCGAGTAGTGAAAGTGAAAGTGATTCACCGGAGGGCAACTAATGTGCCCTCTGCCTCGGAACCAGCCGCCATCCATGTGTGCCCAGCCAGCTTTTCTACTTATGTAAGTGTTAAAAAACCTAATATTATTGATATTTCTCTTAATTATTGTGTGTGCATACCATCATAAAATTAAGATGTTTTTTTACTACAATGTACGTATTGTGTCGGAAAAAGTGGAGTTTGGGGGTCGGCCCAGTCTCTATTTCAATTAATCCCATATGTTCTGTTATTTCGTCTACGCATTTCTCATTTTCCGCGGACCTCCACGGGTTCAATTGACCGCTTAAATGCAGGCTATACTGTACATACACGTGCCAGAAGTGCATCCCCAACTAGACACTCATAAAAGCTACATCTAATATGAAAATAAGGCAAACACCCAATTTAAACTTACTTAAAACATAATTTCCTATCAAAAAACTTAATTCCTCAGATGCTATCCATTAGATATGACCTTGGTCTTTGGTTAAATCTTTTACCAGAACTTTCTCAGCTTGATATAAGTCATCTTCCTCCACAGCCCATCCCATTACAGTATCTGATTGGACAGACAGTAGTTTCTCCTGTTCTCTGCTAACTGACATGAAATAAAATAATGTGCCATGAAATTCCTCTTTATGGTTGAGGGAACAAAAATTAATGACCTGTGAGATAGACCACTACTAAGTACCCTCAAGCAGTCTGTTATTATCCTGGTAGCTGTAATGTTTGGCAGCAGCATCACACTACCCAAACTCTTAGTCTCTTACAATGTTTTAAGAATTATTTAACAGATGTACATGGCTTTCAAATGGTTCGCTAAGCTGCATCTCCCCAATGAGAATAATCTTTTATTAATTACAATATAAATTTTTTTTTCCATAAGTTACTCCATTGTATAAAATCCTCATGATTTAAACATCTTCATTAAAATGTTTCTTTCACTTTTATGAGATGATATCTTTCACAATTTTAATACAAATGAACCACAATACAGTAAATACTATGTATGTATGTACTGTATGTTTTTTTTAAGTATGGCCCACGAGTAGAAATTATTTTAAAAAGTTCCCGTCTTACTGCATGCTTCTTGGACAATGGCTGACTCTGCCTGAGAGCATTCTATGGTGGTTTATATCACAGATCACGTGCGAGGACCCACAGGCCATAAATCGCTATATTCACCTGAACTTCATTAGTAAGAGTGTTGTTATGTTGGCAATTCACCTGAACTTCATTAGTAAGAGTGTTATTATGTTGGCATTCTTCCTCTTTAGGTCCAAGCTGTTTTGTGGTTGTTGACATGTGTTGGTCATTCCCATTGAGGCCTTGGTCCCTCACAGTCTCCTCACCCCCACAACCTGGTGCAACCTTATGTTGCTGTCCTGCCCCAAGGTCAGAGAGACGCCCGTTCATATACATCCGTTCCATACAACCTGCAGAGAAAAATACATCTTCAAATACTTGGTAGCATGATTAAATCAGCATTTGATAACTTGCACTAACTTCAAATGACAAAAAATTGCAGAATATGCACAGTACCTTATCAGAAAAATACTGTACAGTACTTAACTAGATATGCTGTCAAACTGATCTCTTACCACTGAAACTACCAGTATCCTTTAGATGCCACCGTCTGCTTGCAGACTGCGCTACTTCCTTGGGAAGACCACCAATGTAAAGAGGAGAAGCGACCTGAAGGTATTCATTTAGCCCATCATTTATTATGGAGCGAGCGGTGCCACGATCTATGCGCATGGTGAAGTTCTGCTTAATAGTGAGCAGTTCAACTGTATGCCAATCTCCATCATTAACAACCTCATAACTGCAATGAAATGATGATATTAATATTATATTACTTTTCCCTATAATACAATAAAGTTAAAGGATTGTTGGCCATCTATAATGATCATCTCAACATTGGAGAATACAGATGAAATGGACAGTGTTGCCTTTGCTTAACTTTATCTATTCTGTACTTAAAATTTTACCTACAGGTGAATTAAGAAGCACAGTCCCTTATTGAGAGGGAAAATAGATTAACCCAAATGTCATGAACGTGAACCTAGAAACAGTGAAGAGCAGGAAGTGTTCTACTGGAGGTGAAGGGAAATTAACACTGGAACACTGCAATCATATCTTAGGTTTTGTTAATAACTTACTAATATCCTCCTTCTCCAACATTCCACATCACACCACACTACACTACATTTCTTCCCATTCTCCAATACCAGAATTTAATAAAGTTCCATAAGAAGGAAAATCTGAAACAAACAAAAATACTCCACACACAGTTGCTTATATCCTCAACTTGCCTATAAAACTAGTATACAGAGTGAAACTTTAGCCTCTGATTTATGTATAATTATTTTAAGATTATTTTCTTATTCGTAATGAACAATGATACAATCAGAAAAACACTATATCCCGTACCTGAACATGTTTGACACTGGGTAGTTTCCAACGTCGTAAGATACTCTGATGCGACCCTTGAACAGCTCCACCGCAAGATGTGCCGACTCCCCTATGTAGAAGAGCACTCCGTCCTCCTGGTTAGTTCGGAAGTGGAGAGTCACGTTGGAGGATGGCCGGGTCTTTAGGGGCTCCAGAGCAAGGAAGGAGTCGTTGGCTCCGAAATGTACACGAGTCAAGTACTCACAGTGCTTTCCTACAGGGATATGGAACATTAGAGTAATAATAATAATAATAGAAGTTTATACAGTACTGTATTAACACATGATTCAACATTTCAAAACATTATTTAAAACAGCGGTTGTGCTATAGATCAGTTTTAAATGCAATAACATATTCAAAATTAACCCAATTGTGAAATAATACCAATATATTCAGCCATAAATACTATACAGGGTATATTAATTCTATTAGTACCAAGATACCATAACTGTATTCAATCAAAAGCAGCTTTAATAAAGTTTTTACAATACCTATCCTAAAAATATCATGTCTAAAATATCTGATAACTTAAACAATTTGTCTTCTTTTTTCTCTGTGTGTTTCTGCAATAAATTCTGCCATCAAAATTTTCCCCAATACAAAGAAAATTTATGTTCTTTACAATAATATAATCACACTTTATTCCAACTGAATTTTAGGTTCCTGTGTATATTGTACCTCCTAAAATACAGGTATAGTAATCATTAAGGGTTCTCAAATAAAACAAGACCCTGTATAATACCTGTTCAACTGACCTGAAAAGCCTGGGGAACACTTGCACACATAGTCCTTTGAGTTTGCAGGTACAAAACAAATGCCATTCTGACAGTCATTTTGTTGACAGGGTGAAGTCTGAAGGAACACGGCCGGGCCCACTTCACAGAACTTTCCGGAATAGTCATTAATACACTTGCAGGTATATTCATTTTCTCCGTCTACGCACGATGCACCGTGCTGTTGAAATGAACGATTAAATAACAACAGAAAATATGTGTGAATTATTATCAATCATAACCTGCAAAAACTATACTTCAAAATATACTGTACTACTATCATTATATTATACAGTAACACTACAGTATTAAACATGTGTGGGATAAAACAGCAAACATCATACAGTACCTGGCACAGATGGTTTATGCAGTCATCAATATTCTCGGTACAGTTTTCACCGGTGTACCCAAGGGCACACTGACACTCATAGTGGGTGGAGTGGTCGATACAACTGGCACCATTTTTACAGGGATTAAACTCTTTGCTGCAGAAGGGGATCTTACGCTCACAGTAATCACCTGAAAGAAGATAAAGAGATTTTAATAAATTAAACGAAATTAGCTCAAATTAAACTACTTTTATGTCTAAACATGATATACATAACGGGTCAAAGACAGCTTAAAACCTTCACTTTGGGGACACCACACTTAGTAATTTATTTGGCTGATGCAAGACAATGTCATTCAGCGGAGAAGGGTCCCCATACACAGGGGGTTAAATGCAAACACATCTGAGTTTTATGAGCATCTAAAATGTTACATCAAGATTTATGTCAATATAGAAACATACAAAATTTTCAGACATTCAGATGACATCAGATAGTATGGCATTATTTACCTGTATAACCTGGGTGACACTGACACCTGTACTCCTCCACCAGGTCAATACAGGTAGAGTTGTTCTCACACTTGTTCCCAGCACAGTCATCTATGTTAACCTCACACCGGTCACCCTCAAACCCAGGAGGACAGTGGCAGCTACAAGGAGTGAAAATAATTACAATGAATTCTAGTGTCTTTATATGTAATTAATGATTATTTCTGTACTTTATATTAACACTGCATCATTACCAACACTGGACAGACCAATCACCCAAATGGCTAGTAAACTGATAAGTGGTGAAATGGTGATAAAAATTACTTGGTAAACAGTCAGCCACACAATGTTAAACTCTGTACCACCCATCAATGATTTCTTATTTTGAATTAAAAGATGGAAGTTCTATTTATTTTCCAGGGAAGGAGATACTGAAGAAAACCTTTATAACAGAACTTAAGCAAAAAATGATACAGTATAGTGTTTGAAAGTCATTGATCAGCCATACTAAATAATTCCTGGAAATCACTACAGCACAGGAATTCTTCAAAGTTAAATGATTAACATAATGTAGCTGCATTTTTCTTACTCAGAGGCATTGATGAATCTCAAACTATAAACAGGTTATTCAAATAATTTTTCTTTATATCCATCCCCCCAAAATCAGTCTCTCTTACTCTTTTAGAAAAAAATAAGTTACCTGAATCTACCAGCTTCCAAAATCTTGCAAGTGCCAAGGTTCCTGCAAGGGTTTCCATAACAAGCATCGATCTTGTACTGGCAGTTGGGTCCATAGTATGCTGGGGCACAAATGCATTCATAGCTGCGGTTAGCGAGTGGACGACAAGTCGCTCCGTTCTCACATGGGTGAGTATAGCACAGGTCACACTTGGCAAGCACCTAAGGGTAAAGTCTGATGCTTAAGGAATATGTTGAATAAAATATTTAAATATTCACTGAAACAAAATACCCTCTGAGTATAGCTACTGTAATGACAAAAAAAGTTTATTAGTTAAGAATTGCATTATCTATTTTTGCTGAATCCATCAGAGAATAGAATTAAAACTCTTTAATCTGTTTCTTGACTAACCTCATCTGGAACCTTTGGGACACACTTAAAAGCTTGAGTTGGTGTTGTGAGTACAAGTTTATCCCTCATGGACGGTGGTTCTGCACACCGAGCGATGCCTGGTTCTACAAAATCACTTTTCACCCAATCAGAGAACCAACCCAGCGAACAGTCACAAAACAGAGGATTTGCTCCCATGGCTCTGTAAGGAACAAGATGAAGTTATTAAAGCAAACCGTCTTCAAGGTTCTTTTAAAATTAATACCTGTAATACAGTACAGTACAGATATAGTAAACATCTTTTTATAGCACCATATTCTATCAAGATAATATAATTTAAAGACAAATAAAACTCTGAATGAGATAATTATACTTACATGTGAGTAATGAAGACAAGGTCACGGAATGCCCCATCAGGAATCATCGAAATATCATTCCCATGGAGAGATCTGAAGTGATTAAGGGTTGAATGTTGTCACTATAAATATCATCAGAATTACTACAGCATATTAAGCATGTTCTCACCTTCCTCCCCCGACATAGACCATTAAAGACCAAAAACTGTATTGTTCTGAAAACTTTCTTCTGTTCACTGTAGAAGAATTACAGATTTACATAATCAAAATCTGTAACTAAGAAGCCCACTTTTCTTGCTCCAAATTGTCAACTACTGTACTGTCTTATACCTGTATCTTAATTCCACTATGATTTTCCTACTTTACACGCTCTCTGTTTACACCTCTATATACCTCTCCAGCGCCTCTCTTAATGCAGTCTTTTAAAAGGCACCACAACTCTTAAATTTTGGATGACCAGACAGTTGCTGGCCCTCTGACACTTCCCTATTAATACAGACTTAAGGCTTTACAGTTATACCCAGTTCATATTTCAAAGAAGAAAGAGAGGAGACTTAATCAAAGTGTCTCATTACTTAAATAGCAAGCTACTATACAGTATACTGAAGTACTGTACTGTATACTGTACTTTAGGAAAATCTGCATTGAAAAAACTTACAGAATTCGAAGTTTCCGCAGGCCAAACAGGGAGTCTCTCTGCATACACTGTAGTTTGTTGTAGCTCACAATACTATTAGGTCATCAGGGAGTAAAGATAAAGAGGTTAACCATTATTAGTACCATAAATATTTAAGTAAACCCAACTTGTAAGTGTCCTATTTCTCAGCCTTGAACAAAATGATCGTATACATGAGAAATGGTCAAGTAATCTCTATAATTATTTAATGGGCGATCTTATTATACTGTACAGGACAACAGAAATTTTTGATAAGGCTTAAAAAATATAATCACACACATACTGAAGCATTAATTTGTCATGAAAGCAAAGAATATGAATGGCACGGTGGTGAGGCTAAGGACCAGTACTCACAGTGTGGAGAGCTGGTTGAGGCTGGCAAATGTGTTGTTCTGCAGGACAGCAATCTGGTTGTTACTCAAGTCTCTGGTGGGAGAAGTAAGTTTAAAGTTCCATTATGGGGTCAGGAGTATGTCGGCTCTTAACAACATACAGTAAGCTTGTTTAACTCCTTTGCTATGGGATGCCACTTTACCGGTAAATATATTTTGGCTAAAGCAAGACGATTTTATTCAGCAGAGAGAGGACCTCGTACAGTGGTTAATGTGACTGATAAACAAAGATTTCACTAAGAAGCATGAATGATTCTTCATATAAGGATAACTATATTAAACAAAGGCTTGAATAACAATACAAAGGGACTCACTCTCATCCAGTGTCCTCTAATGAATCAACAAAATATGCACAATAAATATCCAGAAGTACACTACAACTGTTACATCATTAGAAAAAGAAAAATGAAACACAACTTGACCAAACTTACAGTCTAGTAAGGGCTGTCAAATGTGCAAGTCTGTCAGCATCCAATTCAGTGATTTCATTTACATCCAAGTACCTGTACGGATGAATAAGGATGGTTAAGTTAAACAAGAATAAACAAAAAATCACATACAAATAACACTAACAAAATAATATCACTGTTATCCCTCATTGTGATTGATAATAACAGTGCCATTTTCTCTTCTATCCAATAACATGAATATTAAAGCATCAACTCAAACTACTTTACAGCTCAATCTATGGAGCCACAAGGAGAGCAATGAAGTTTTTCCTTCGGATGGCATAACTGTTTAATAAAAATCTTCATTACATAATACAGTACTGTAATAAAACACATACACAAAATCATCATTAATATTGCAATCTACAACTTAAATGTTTCCAAAATATATTTCTGGGGTATAGAAACATTTAGTTACCCATAAAGATCAATAAAAACATACAGTTCGGTGGCATGTGAGGGGATGCCCTTGGGAATCTCCCGTAGTCTTGCCCGGGAGCAGCGAACAACAGTGCCTTCACATCTACAGTCAGTGGGGCAACGTTCCTCGACCCCGAAGCAACCTGGCTCATCTCCTGGGGTGACAGGAATTATTTATATTTCTATGTTAAGAATATAATCATCGTGAAATAAATTGTAAATATAACACAAACTTATTAACGTATAGATATCCTCTAGGAAAATATAATAAAGTAAGGAATATATATCTAATAAAGTATGAGGCATCTGTTTATTTTATTCATACAGCATGTATTCAAAACATACACTATACAGAACTAATGTATATATCAAACATATATACCACAAAATTTATCCCAAACAAAAATTTTCCACTAATTTATGACGGAGGCAATACAGAGGTACATACTTAGCTGGGACTCTGGTAGCAAGAAAGAAGATAAATACACAGTAGAATAGAAATAGTGATGGAAGGCAAATTTTGGTTGGCATTAAAGATAGGAATAAAATTACTATTAAAACCAATTATCAGTATTAATATTGTATTATACTTTTTCATGTACCTCTTTATTTTGTTAAGGGAATTATGGACACTAGTTTTATAAGTAAACAACTATATGCACACAGGGATCCTTAAAACAAGTAGCTATGCAAACATGTGGGTAGTCTTTAATGAAGGATCTGTGTGTAGAGGAAGACGAGCACGAACTAACATGCAAAGAGAGAGAGAGAGAGAGAGAGAGAGAGAGAGAGAGAGAGAGAGAGAGAGAGAAAGATGCAACAATCAACAATGGGGTGGGGAAGTAAACCACAGGGTCGATTAGTTGATGGAGATAAGATAAAAAGTGAACCAATACAGATGTCAAACCAGGCAGAGATTTGGATGAACAGAGGAGCCGCCGATCCAACCTAGCCAGAGTAGATATACCCTTTGGATATAAGAGGAAGTACAATACGGGAGTAGCAATGGATATCATGTAACTGAGAGTACTATACTAAGGGGTGAACAGACTACAATAAGTGGAAATGAGGAGATAGGGAAGTTAAAGGTGTACAGGATTGAAGGATAATGAGGGTCCGGAGAAATGGACTGGATACTAGGAGAGGATAGAATGACTGGTAAAACGAGGGAGAGAAGGAGAGAGAAACATTATGTAAGAGGAGGATAGATACCCAGGCAGAAGTGGAGTGTATGTATGATGAGATAGCAGGGTACTGATGATTACTGCTGGGTTATATGAAGCAAAAAGGATAAAGCAGATAGAGAAACATGTGTGTGTGTGTGTGTTGTGGAAAGGGATTATCAGAGCAGAGCACATCTTTTACAGCACCTTGAAGGCGTGAACAAAAGGGATTGATAGGAGAGTTTGTGTTGTACAGTCACCCCAAAAAAGTCCTGTCGCCTCTCTTCTTGAACCATGAACCCCGAGATTCAGACTTGTGAACCCGAAGCAGTAGATTGATGCATTATTCTGTCCATAAAAGCTTCGGATTCATAAGTCTGAATCCCCGGGGTTTGTGGTTCTGGAGGAGAGGCCACAGGACTTTTGTGGATGACTGTAACCTGCACGACGTGGGAAAAGTTTATATGAGTACAAAAGTTCTATTCTGGTTTGGGTACAACAACCACTCAAGAACCATTCATCAAAGCCAAGTAATATCCTATACAGCCTTAAGCTAGAGGCATTACCTTCACATGCAAACTGTGAACTGGGAACCTCAGTAATGAGTATGTCCCGAAGGTGTGGGGGAGACTGGCACTTGGGCACACCTGTAGCGGCACTCTGGGACCGTAGCCACTCTGCCAGCCAACCCATGTGACAGTTACATCGTAGTGGGTTGCCCTCAAGGTTTCTGATATAAAAAGAAATAAAACTAATCACTTCCAGGAATCAACATTAATAGATGAAGTCTAATGTCATCAACTTTAAAGACGAATCACTGAAGAATTTTTTTACGTGGTCGGCAGAGTACTTACATCTCTGATAACGTAGAGAGCTGACTGAAGGCTCCAGGTGAGATACAAGTCACTTTGTTGTCTGCCAGTGAACTGTAATAGAAGTACCCAGTCATACCTATACACTGTGCATATACTGAATTAAAATCTATTACTCAACTGAAAATACAAGGACTGTGAGAGGAAATATCACTTCAAATATCATCACTGAGACTCGCTTATTGACATATGTACTAGAGAAGGAGGTATTTACAGTGCCCTCAGCTCTGGAAGTCCTTCAAACATCCGACTGTTGACTTCAGTGAGGTCGTTGTCGGAGAGATCGCTGTAAGGAACACATACCCCTGCCATTACCACACAGTAGTTATTGTTTAACACCTGATACTACCCCCTGATACACCTAAGAGGAATATCTATTTAAAATATACACTTCTTGAGCTACAAATGACTAAACCTGTACTGCTATATCTAGAAAAGCAGCCAAGTACTGTACTGTATTACTGATGAGTTACATAGGAATAATTATAACTTTTTTACTCATTATATCTTTCAAATATTGTGTCTGTACCACCTGTATTATCTTTACCTTATACCAGATACAGTATAAGAAATTCACAAAATCCAAGACCTCTAACCCAGTTCATGATCTAGTAACTAATATAGTCCAACTCAGTAACACTCAGTACAGGTGATAGAGTCAGCCACTCACAGCTCATGAAGTGACTGGATGCCTTGGAAGGAGCCCTGGGTGATGTGGCGCAGGTGGTTGTTGGAGAGGACCAGGCGACGCAGACGAGACAGCTGATGGAGCACCCCTGACCCACCTATCTCACGGATCTCATTATCAGACAATAGCCTAGAAGGAACACAAATTACATGTTAGAGAGGTACACAATGTAGGCTTGAGGAAAGGTATATGGTACAGGACCCCTCAAAATGCTTAACTATACTGTAATGTAAGCTTGAGTAAAGGTATATGATACAGGGCCAAAATGAGCTTAACTACACTGTAAAGTAATTATTTAAGTGCATATATAAAGATACGGGAATAATCTTCTCAATGACAGAAAAAAAAGGAAAACAATTATAAATTACACATCAAGCTAAAGATGAGGTAAAACATGAGAACTAACAGGTCCGTGGTGTAGGGTGGAAGGGTGTCTGGGAGCTGGGTGAGGCCCCCTGCCGTACAGTCGACGGTGGTGCCCCGGCAGGTACACCCTCGTGGACACTCCTCCGCCGTCACACACTCCCCAGCATACAGCGACACTGTCCCGTCCGTGCCTGAGTGTGGATATGAGGTCAGTGATTATTTGATGACAATTATCGGTTGAGGATCATTTTTGAGCTGCTATCCCAAACACATTTACACTACAGTACATTAACTTTTACCTCACCTAATTACGGCACCTAATTATAAAGAGTTTAATACATGTACAGTACTGGAAAACAGGAAAACGTGAGTTAATGTTGAAAAATGGCTTGTTATTCTAGCCTAAGTAAAGCCAGGTACTGTTTTATAGGTAAACACGGCCATAAAGATTTGCAAATAACTCTAGCCGGCAGAACCTGACCTTATCTAATTTGATACTGTGGTACTTTAACTACTTATCATATTTAGTAAACACTTGTGTATTGTAGAAAGGTTCAAAACTGTATGTCCATTATATATACAACAACTGTGACCATTTCAAATTAATCCATATAATATAGAGTTGATTACAAAGAGTAGATACAGACAAACTGATGGATGAAGCACCAGTACTGTATATCCCCTGGCCTGGTTGATAGTGAGAAGGCTAAGAACTCCACATTATCCCTGTCTTAAAAAATCTGCCCTACTTTTATTGAGTAAATAAAAACTGTGAAATACAATGGAAACACATATAGGGAGAGTCTGGTACTGGACAATGAACCCGAACAGGATTGTTGAACCTTCTCTGATATTTTAACTCAAAATCTTAATACATACAGTAGCGCTCCTGAACAGACTCTGAAATTATCACATACTAATTCTACTAAATATGGTTTTACTTGTTATTTTCCTATAACCCTGAAATACTTTACAATTACAAAATGTATTCATGAAAACTATACAATGAATTATATTACTAAATGATACAAAATATGTCAAGTGTTTAATACATGGGATGAAAACTGCAAGATTGATTGAAAAAAAAAACTCACTTGTCATACAAAGTCAACAAGACACCTACATTTAAGTCGTTCATCTCTTAGGGCGTTTAGCTTCCGACGCTGGAGCCACCTCGGGTTCTCACAGCGGGCACCAGACGTCTCTATAGGGTGCAACTCCAGGTAGTCTGACAGCCACTGGATGGTACAGTCACACACGAACGGGTTACGACCAAGGTGTCTGTAAAGTCAGGTAACACATTAATTATCATACATCAGTTACAAGTTATTAAACCTAGAATTTCATAGTTATTGTTATAATTAAGTATGATACAAGTAATCTTAAAATAACTACCCAGAGAAGAATTAAATTACATAATTCTTAATTGCTAATGAATTATTGTAATTACTAGCCTTGTTAAGCACTTAAATGACATTAATACAATTATAACACCAACGCCAGCCACTGATAAAGAATAAATCTGTACTAAATTACTAAATATATTTCCTTTTATTGACCGAAGTAACAAACCTGACAGCTGACCCACAACAGAGTTCTCGTGATATTATACATTATTAATTTCTGAAGTTTTTAAAGGTTAACTCAATCAGTGCTAAATAAAACTCGGAATAAAATACAATATCGATAATTGAAATGGACGCATGATTGACTGTTGGGTATTGACTAACCAACAGGAATAAACAGTCAACAGAAATACGCAAAGATAACACTAAATGGAATAAACAGTAAAATCGACAACAGAAAAGAAATATGAATTAGCTCAATGGAATCAACAGTAGTAAGTAAACCATTAACAGAAATACGTGAATCTCTCTAAACATGATCCAAACAGAACCGTTTTACAAATAAGAATCTCATGTTAATTTTAATAGTAGTTGTGTTTGGGAATATTTGAAGTTATTTAAGGATAGTAATACATAATTTAATAAGTATTACTAACAACAGACCAGACCGCCATAACTGAGTACGGTAAATCATGAAGTTGGAGGACACTTGGAAACTGAAACCTCCATATAACGGACTTTTCTCTTCATATAGTCCGTTAAATAAAGGTTTCAATGTAAGACATCAAAAGATAACAACTAAATAAAAAATTCATGAAAAATAAATAAAGAAAAATATATAATAAAGACAATGAATGGAAAGAAATGAGGAAAAAATGAAATAAAAAAGAAATGCAATGAATAATTCGAGCATGAAGAGACAGATACAACAAATTAGGGAACAGAGAGAATAAAGATAAATAAAAAAAAAATAAATGTTGAAACTGAGTAAATGGGGTAAAGCAGATTAGAACAGTGTTTGAAGCGCTATGCAAATGGACTAAAAGAAGAGATTAGGCTTTAACTGGGCGAGGCTTGTTAACTCAAATTCACAATATAATTCCTACGTTAAACTTCTCACCCAAACGCTGTCGTAAGAACGCAAACAACATGGAAATAACACCCAAAAAAGACGTCAAAATTATTATTGCGACTTTTTTTTTTAATTTAGTTTTTTATCCTTCAGTTTATGGGGGAAAAAATTGTTCTACGTAGCTTTGGGCATCAGAGACTTCAGACAACAGGGAAGGGGAAGTTAAGAGCCGACTCAACAGAAGCTGTCAGGTGGAACATTGACACGACTCGAATATACACAATCATTCAAATTCGGGGATCTGATTCAACTGCTGGTATGGCTGTGAGGGAGAGGGTGAGGGAGAGGGAGAGGGTGAGGGAGAGGGGGAGGGAGAGGGTGAGGGAGAGGGAGAAGGTGAGGTTGTGAGGAAGGGAGAGGAGGTTGAGAGAGAGATGGGGAGGTTGAAGGAGAGGGCGATGAGGTTGAAGGAGAGGGCGATGAGGTTGAGTGAGGGAGAGGGTAGAGAGGCAGAGTGAGGGAGAGGAGGGTAAGTTTAACGGAGAGGGGGAGGAGGGTGAAATTGAGGGAGAGGGGGGGTGTGAGGTTAAGGGGAAGGCTGAGTGAGGGAGAGGGGGAGACAGTGAGGAACAGAGAGTGAGTAAAGGAGAGGGTGTAAGACAGTGAGGGAGAAGGGGGTGAGACAAGAGACGGAGAAGGGTGTGAGACAGTGAGGGAGAAAGAGGAGCGAGGCTGGAACGGGTAGGTGTATACATAAGGGATAACGGGCTAGGTCTCAGGTCTGGCTGAACACAAGCATCCCCAACATAATAGCAAAGGGGAGAGCAGTGTCAACACAACCTCCTTTGTACCACCTTATAAACGTTTATGCACCACCAAAGGACGCGGGTTCGAATCCCAGCCATCAGTGTGGAGAGAGAATCTAATTATGCAAACCTAACTTAACCAATGATATATAAGTCTCACATCTAGAGTATTACCAAAGGTCATAAACGGACCAAAACTAATCAATTTTTCTGCCATATCAAAGGAACCAAACTCCAAAATTCACTAAAAATCTAACCATATCTGTTGAAGGTATTGTATAAATGGTGTTAGGGACGGAGGGAAGACGAACGAATAACACGAGGCTACAAAACAAGACGAAAAGTTATGCAAAATAAGTAAACATAAACATTCACCTCTCTAAGGGTGTATTATAGAAATTACCTCTACATACAAGTCCACATATTTGAGAGACATTACCATAAACCTCACCTCAAGGAATAGCTAGTGAAATTTACATACACTTTACCTTACCACAACCTTCACTTCTCACCCTCCAGGCTCGCTTTTACTACCTTACCTAGCAGAATCTTTCCTCTTTCCTGTCCCATACATTTCTTTCATCCTTTCCTCCTCCTTCTTCTTCTTCTCTTTCTGTCTATACCATATTTTTTTTCTTCTTCCCCCTTTCCACTTACAAACATCATCTTCTTCATCTCCTTTCCCAGTCTTTCCTCATCTCTTCCTTCCCATATACTTTCCTTTATTTCCTGTTTACTCATACCTTCCTTCGCCTTCTTCCTCTTCCATATATATCTTCCTTCACCCTTTCCTTCCCCCTCTCCTTCACTTCCTCCTTTCCTACATCTTCCAAACACCTCCTCCTTCTTCTGTCCCTCCTACCACGGTCACCTTCCTCTCTCCTCTTACCCATCACCTACTCCCCTAGATCAGGTGAGGGCAGGTAAACAAACAGGTGGGGATGAAACACCTGCGACGCGGGACACACCTTAATGAGGTCTTGATCCTACCCTCACCCCCTCCCCCTCTCTCACTCCCTCCCTCAACCCGATGGAGACCAAAGCACCGAGAGTAAACACGACCATGAATCTCTAAAAGTTTCCTGAAATCGAATTTTGTCCTTAATTTGAGAGAGAGAGAGAGAGAGAGAGAGAGAGAGAGAGAGAGAGAGAGAGAGAGAGAGAGAGAGAGAGAGATTCTAACTGGCTCAACTTATAGCAACAACATGACGTCAAAAATGAACTCGTGTCTTGTGTGTGATTCCTTGAGTTTTATTCAGCTTAGGTAAAAAATTACACAAAAACAACCTGCTTTGAAACTGGACTAGACAGCAGTGGAAATTATAAAGTGATGTACAGATAAGAGAAGGTTTTAACCTCATCAACACACGAGGTAAAATACGTCTGTAAATCACCTGTGAAAATGTTCATAGACAAGAGCTCTCAATGCACTTAGTCCGGCATGAATAAATGGCTTACAAACGTGGAGCTTTGGCCACATGGAAAATAATGTCAGAGAATGGCGCAAGCACACCAGTTAATACTTTAAAGCGTTTACCAAAAGTTACCCCACGGTGAATATACATAAATAAAGCGCTTGTGATTTTCCAGGACAAATAATACGCACCGCAGTGCACGAATACGCAAGAATAATCCAGCCGTAAACAGCGTGAAAGCCAAGCGCATCTAAATTTACAACCTGCCACGACCAAATCCTGTTTTAATGACCAACACCGACATTCATCAAGCTGCCTCTCCATAGTAATCCTATTTTAATTCCCACCGTGTGCTCGCTGGTCAGGGTAGTGTGAGTAGTGAACGGTGGGGCAAAAAGTGTGTGCCAGGCCGCAGCTACAACATAACCTTCCCGCCAAACTGTCACCAGATGACGCGAGAGAAAAAAAATATCGACTCATCAATAAAGAACAACGGTGGTGGGACGACAATAACACACCTGTGAACGTTAGACTTGAGTTATTAATATTTAAGTTTTAGATCTAATATTTTGTTTACTTTAGGTACCACTTTTTTTTAAATTAAAATATTACAGCAATAATTTACACAGTTGGCTCGTGTACATTTCTGAAGCTCATATTTATCCCGTTTTCATCTTGACAACAAACATATATTACAAAGCAGTGAATGTTTCTCTCTTTATATATTTTGATAAATTATTGTTTTTTATTGACTTTTTTATCATCTGGTGACGTAAATCTTAGTACCGTGATGATAGTGACTTAATATATCGATGGCGTTAAATCCTTCCATTTTTAGTAGCGCCACCTCCCCCCACCGCCGCTCAGTGACCAACATATTTATGATTATTGCACACGGTAAATGGCAGCGCATATATTCCAGTCAAGATGGTGTATCAGTGAGAGACGCCTCGACCACAGAGATCATTTATCCTCCAAGACAATGGTCCCAACTGTACTTGAATACTAACTTTGCAATTAGAATAATGATGTACGGTGTCTTCCTGTGTGTGTGTGTGTGAGAGAGACGGTGGGGCAATTTGCTTTACAGGGCATCTATACCACCGCCACTAACTACCCACCACAACCACCACCTAACCACTACCACCACCACCACTAACTACCCGCCACTACCCTCCTTTTATACCACCGCCACTGACTCCTCCCCCCCCCCTCTAAACCATAAACGTGGCCTAGGGAGAGACAAGACCATTCAGCCGTCATCCCGGACACAATATAACCCGGATGAATAGCACCTCCAGCTGGGCCCACGATCTACGAGGGGAAGCGATCTGTCAACTTTTTAAAACTTGAGTATCTCTTCCCGGACCTCCCACCACCACCTCACGCTCCTCCTCCTCTTGAGTATCTCTTCCCGGACCTCCCACCATTACCACCACCCCCTCCTCACGCTCCTCTCTTAGGGCTACAGTATATTGATGGTGGATGTCTGATCCTCACGCATGTCCTCCCGTACTAGCCTTTCCACCTACTCACCCCTCCACAACACATTCCACCTCTCCCTCTCCTCCTATCATAAGACTCCTTCCATATTCATGAGCCTTAACGACACTGAGTCTAGTTGGCCAATTTTTCATCACCTGACGAGTACCTCAACCACGCAGCCACGGTCTCCCTGATCGATGAGGCTTCCGTTATATCAAGGGGCCGTTATATGTGAAATCTCCACTTAACGAACTATGTAAAGATGAAAGTCCGTTATATAGAGGGTTCGTTATGTGTGAAACCTCCATCTAACGAATTATATATAGGTACTCATAAAACACGTACAGGTAAGAGAGACACGAGTACTCACAGGTGTACTCATTAAGTACTCATAACACACGTACAGGTAAGAGAGACACGAGTACTCATAGGTGTACTCATTAAGTACTCATAACACACGTACAGGTAAGAGAGACACGAGTACTCACAGGTGTACTCATTAAGTACTCATAACACACGTACAGGTAAGAGAGACACGAGTACTCACAGGTGTACTCATTAAGTACTCATAACACACGTACAGGTAACAGAGACACGAGTACTCACAGGTGTACTCATTAAGTATTCATAGCACACGTATAGGTGAGAGACAGGTGTACTCACAAGGTCTGGATGCTGCTCAGGGTGTCAAAGGTGCCGTTTTGGATCGTCTTAATGTTGTTGTCATACAGAGACCTGAAACAACAACAAGAACAACTTGTTATAAGTAAACACAACCTCACATAACCCGCCACAACCCCTTATATAAACACAACCTCACATAACCCGCCACATTATATAAACACAACCTCACATAACCCGCCACAACCCCTGATATATAAAATACAACTCACATAACCTGCCACAACCCCTTATATAAACACAACTCACATAACCCTGCCACAACCCCTTATATAAACACAACTCACAACCTACAAAACAACTTAGTATATTTTCCTCTTCTTCCTGACAGCACTGCCTGAGTTGCCTCCTGTGAAGACATACCGGGGTAGAGAGAGGGAGGGAGAGAGGGGGAAGGGAGGAGGGGAAGGAGGGGAGGGGAAGGGGGGGGAGAGGGAAGGAAGGAGGGGAGGGGGGAAGCAGGAAAAAGGCCGTAACACAATTGTCCTGGACAAATAACACAAAATGGATCACATCGTAAGTGCCACCCCTCCACAGCCCGTCACCCACAGAGGGTAGCACTGTCTCCACCACACTCCTTCCCCACTCCCTCCACAACGCCAGGAAGGAGGAGGGGGGGGGAGGGAAGAGAGGAAGGAGAAGGGAGGAGGAATGGGAGGGGGGACAGGGAGGGGGATGGGGGAAGGTGGGGAAGACGGTGGAGAGGGGAAGAGGAGGGAGAAGGAGGAAGGGATGAGGGAACAAGTGGAGGAAGAAGAATGAGAGAGAGAGAGAGGAGTAAGAAAGGTCGAGGGAAGGAGGGAGAGAAGACCAAGAGGGGAGAGGGGGCGGAAGGGGTAGGTGAGAGAAGGTCGACAAGGGAGGTGGAAAAGGATGGGAGGTGAGGGAAGAGAGAAGGAATGGAAGAAGGTGACTTAGAAGGAGGAAGGGAGGGAGGGGAGAGAGAGAGAGAGGGTGAGAAAAAGTTTGGAAAGGGCAGGAGGGAAAAAAAGGAGTTGGGGAAAGTAAGGGCAGGTGAGAGATGTCAGGGAAGGAGGTAAAGTTAACGGAGGAAAGGGGAGAAAAGGGGAGGGAAGGGGAGGGGAGAAAAGGGGTGATAAATGGAAAGGAACCCACGAAGAATAAAGAGATATAGAAGATAAGACGATGGTAAGAACTATGAAAAGGTGGTTAATGAGAGTAAATGACAAAAACTCACACAGGTAAAAAAAATACCTTTACATCATTGACCAGGTGATCTTCAGGCCGAGAGTGTAATTAACCTACAGATACCTAATTACTATTTTTGATGAGTAGAGGATGGATAGGAGAAGAGGAGAGAGGGAAGGGGGGAGGATAGGTGAAGGGAAACTGAAGAGGGAGGAAGGAGGAATGGCAGGGGGTAGAAGGAGAGGTGATAGGGAGAGTAAGGTAAGGTAATCAACACAGGTAAGGTAATCAACACAGGTAAGGTAATCAACACAGGTAAGGTGATCAACACAGGTAAGGTAATCAACACAGGTAAGGTGATCAACACAGGTAAGGTAATCAACACAGGTAAGGTAATCAAAACAGGTAAGGTAATCAACACAGGTAAGGTAATCAACACAGGTAAGGTGATCAACACAGGTAAGGAGACTCACAGCAGGTTAAGGCTCCGCAGGTCGGTGAAGGCGTCCCTCCTCAAGCACGAGATCCTATTGGCGTTCAGCAGCCTGTAAGAACACCAATAACACCGTTAATTAAGGAGTAATGACTACACCTGGGAAAAGTTTACCTGTAATAGATGATGATGATGATGATAATAATAATAATAATAATAATAAAAATAATAATAATAATAATAATAATAATAATAATAATAATAATAAAAATCAGAACACTCACACACACACACACACACACACACACACACACACACACACACACACACACACACACACACACACACACACACGCGTTTACCGGAGAGTGACTAAGGGAGAGCGAGGGGGGCCAGATGAAAGCCGATACCTTAAATGTGATTAATCCCTTTATAGACGATAGCGCACGTCCTCGCTCTCGCTCTCGTAGTCGTCCTCGTTGCCAGCCCTCTACCTATAGCTCCCTTCCCTCCCTACCTCCATTCCTCACAAGAACAACTACCACAACTACTACGATTACAGTCTCGCGCTAAACGATGCGTACAAGCCCTGGTCTCTGTTTAATTTGTCTTTCTCTGTCTCCCTATCAGTCTTTCTTTCTCTCTGCCTCTCTTTCTGTGTGTCTGTCTGTCTCTGTCTGTCTGTCTGTTCCAGCTGTTATTTCCAGCAATCCAAAATCAACAGATGAACGCTACTAATGAAGGGAGTCCACCTGTGGTCCACCTGGGGTCTACCTGGGGTCTACCTCCACACCTGTAATTAACGTCAGCCACTACATGAGTCAGGAGGGACCCATGACCACACACCCATCACCTGATCCACTTTCTCATGACGTGATCCACTCCCCCATCACCAGACCCACTCCCCATCACCAGACCCACTCCCCATCACCAGACCCACTCCCCATCATTATATCCACTCCCCAACACCAGATCCACTCCCCATCACCAGATCCACTCCCCCATCACCAGATCCACTCCCCCATCACCTGATCCACTTCCCCATCACGAGACCCAGCGCCCCGTCAGGAGATTCACACCCCTGATAACGCCTCACAGTGTCGCCCGACTGAGAGACTCACAATACCCGGGACCTGAGTTTAACAGAGATCCTTATCGCCTCCAATGACACGAGAACATTACACCTGAGAGACACACCTGAGACATACACCTGAGATACACACCTGAAAGATACAGCTGAGACCCCACACCTGAGACACACACCTGAGACACACACACCTGAGATACTAATCAAGCTCCTCAATTCACAAAGGGTCGTATGTGTGAGTTTTTTCCCTATTCTCCCTAACTGGTGGGGAGAAAAAGCGACTAGTTACTGAAGAATGAGGATATGGCGGGGAATTTTGTCGTTTTTCTTGTCCCTATCTGATTAGGATTTGAGAGATTAATTAATTATAATATAGGTTCGTGGTTTAAATGTTATGTATGTATCTATATCATTCTGGATGGTAAGATTAAACAGCCCCCCACCCCCCCAAAAAAAAAGTTAACCCCTCCCCAAAAAAGTTACCCTCCCTTAAAAAGTTAACCCTCCCCCTGTAAAAAAAGTTAACCTCCCCAAAGCACCTCCCAAAAAAAAGTTAACCTCCCAAAAAGCTAACCCCAGTTAACCCTCCCAAAGGCTAACCCCCAAAAGTTAACCCTCCCCAAAGCACCCCCAAAGAAAGATAAAAATAGTGATGTAGAATAAATTACGTAAATCATTAATAACATAACGTACTCATAATTATATAATCAAGGCCTGTACTGTTATTTATGAATTAAGAGATAAGAATGACAAGAAAATCGTCCATGGATATTTTGTGGTGGTGGTGTGAGGAGGATGGCACAGCACTTGGGGAAGGGGGGAAGGGAGTGATTCTTTACCTCTTCCTCCCCCTTCCCTCCTGGCCAAGCTGAGGTCAAGTCCCCATTCTCCCACCAGAAGGCCCTTAGTGTGTGTGTGTGTGTGTGTGTGCGTGTGTGTCGTGGAAAAAAGGAGAAATACGCGTGGAGAGAGAGAAGGGAGAAAGAGAGAGAGAGAGAGAGAGAGAGAGAGAGAGAGAGAGAGAGAGAGAGAGAGAGAGAGAGAGAGAGAGAGAGATTGGCATAGGAGAGATGGAGAAAGGAGAGGAGAAGGGAGCGCAAGAGAGGTGGAGAAGGGAGAGGGAGGGTGAAAGGCCACTCAGGAGGACACACAGGGAGACTAACTCGAACAATGGTGAGGTGAACTACGCCCTTGTTTTGCTTCACCTCCAGTTATGGCTCCCTGGAGTACTGGCAGGTGGAGTGGACGGGTGTATGTGGAGGAGGTGGAGGGACGGTGTAAGGGAGAGGTGGGGAGTGGATGGGGTGTGGGAGTGTGGAGGAGGTGGAGGATGGGTGTATGTGGAGGAGGTGGAGGATGCGTGCGGGGAGGAGGTGGAGGGGATGGGTATATGTGAGGAGGAGGGATGGGTGGCGGGAGGAGGTGGAGGACGGGTGTATGTGGGAGGAGGTGGAGGACGGGGTGTATGTGGAGGAGGTGGAGGGATGGAAAAGGGGAGGAGGTGGGAGGACGGGGTGGCGGGGAGAGGGAGGGATGCAGAGTGGAGGAGGGAGGACGGGCATATGTGGAGGAGGTGGAGGACGGGTGGGAGGGGAGGGAGGTGGAGGACGGGCAGAGGGGGAGGAGGTGGAGTGGACGGGTGGAGAAGAAGAAGAAGAGGATGATTAAACATTAGAACACACACACACACACACACACACATACACACACACACACACACACACACACACACACACACACACACACACACACACACACACAATAATAATAATAATAATCTGACAGAGTAATAGATATCTTTTACGAGAGATAATTTGACAAGTTTCTCTAAAAAAAAAAAATTTACAAACCAATCAGTAATGTTTACCTTGCCTGGGTAACTAATTAGCATCAGGTAAGCTTGGTCTTAAAATTAACTACAGGAGATGAAAGAATCCCAGGTGTCAACGTCAGGTAAATACTAATTAAAATGACGACAGGTGTGAAGGAGAGAAATAGAGAGCAAATGACATTAAAAAAGAGAGGGATTTTCTCTTCTTTATCATCAAGACAAAAGAACAACAACAGTTATCATCACCAATGGTCCATAACTAACACGTGAGGTAATTAAGGAACCCCCCCCCCACCACAAGGATGATTAAGCAATTGGCGGGGGAGGGGAGGGGAGGGGAGGGGAGGTAAGACAAGGACGTAAATCTCCCCAACACAAGTCTTGGGCCATCTTGTTGTGGGGCTTCATCCTCACCTACACCGAAGGGGCTGTACCGTGTGACCATCAGCCGGTGTATTAAACCTCTCCAACCCTCTCTCTCACCTCTCTCTCACCCCTCCCCCCCTCTCTCTCTCTCTCCTTCTTACGATGCACTATAGAAGGATAACTGAGTTTTACTACGCCATGATAACGCTAACATATTCATCTCAACGCTCCATGCTCCATAAACTATACTACCAACACGCTCAATGACGCTTGCATAACTATCTCAACGCCAACAGTTATGCACCACGCTCCATAACATCAACACGCTCACTGACGCTATCACATCTATTTCAACACTATCAAACATGCTCCACGCTCCATGAACCATAAACCTCCATGCTCACTGACGCTACCTCACTCTCCTTCACACCCAACTAACTAACCACCAAACTCCACCTCAAGATAAACCAATCCCCCACCCCCCCCATGCTCCCCTCTTACAAGGGAGCATCATGAACTACGCTCACCATCATGCTCTAATAAGCTCCCAGCTGTTGCCACTAAGACTTGCCACACACACACACAAAGTTTCACAACACTCATTACCACAACTCTTCTGCTGAGAGAGAAAGAGAGAGAGAGAGAGAGAGAGAACAACCATAAAACGTGAAAAAGTTCAAGACCACCAAACACTGTGGAGACAAAGACGTCCACGATTTCTTCCCTCCCCCTCCAAAGTTTCACTATTATACCACTATTATACCACCATTATACCACCATTATAACTATTATACCACTATTATACCACTATTATACCATATTATACCACTATATCACTATTATACCTACTATACACTACTATACCACTATTATACCACCATTATACCACTATTATACCACTATTATATTATACCACTATTATACCACTATTATACCACTATTATACCACTATTATACCACCATTATACCACTATTATACCACTATTATACCACTATTATACAACATATCACTATTATACCACTATTATACCACTATTATACCACTATTATACCACCATTATACTAACTATAGCAATGAACAACACCTGGGATAAAATTATACCACAAACTCAAGGTATTGTATAACTTACGAGAAGAGTCACTTGTACCACGTTAATGAAAAAGGTATAAATTTATCTTATGATTCTGTGATATACATGAACTATAGTGTCCCCAGCGCAAGGTGTGTCAGGTGTGTTTGGAGGTCTAAGCAAGTCATACGGATCACAGGTGTGTTATAAATGTGTGAAGGTAGAACAGGTGAGTAGAGATAGGACAGGTGTGTGAGTGAAAGAAGAACAGGTGTTTAATGAGGGTAGAACAGGTGTGTGAGGATATGTGAGAATGGGAGGTAGGGAGGCCAGGTGAGAACAGGTAGGGAGGGGCTAGGTGGAGTGGGTAGGAGGTCAGGTGAGTGGGGAGGGAGGAGGCCAGGTGAGAGTGGAGGTGGGAGGCCAGGTGAGAACAGGTGGGAGGCCAGGTGAGGTGGGGTGGGGACCAGGTGAGGGCAGAAGTGGAGGAGGAGGTGAGGAAGGGTAGGAAGGCCAGATGAGAACAGGTAGGGAGGAGGCCAGGTGAGAGTGGGAGGTAGGAGGTCAGGTGAGGCAGGGGGAGGCCAGGTGAGAAGAGGTAGGAAGGCCAGGTGAGAAGGGTGGGAAGGCCAGGTGAGAACAGGTGGGGGAGGCCAGGTGAGGCAAATGGTGGGAGGCCAGGTGAGGGGCAGGTGGGTATGGAGGCCAGGTGAGGCAGGAGGCCAGGTGAGGCCATCGTCAGTATTCCCGCCACCCTC